AAGTACAAATGATAATTCTAATAATGAATGATAAGAATACAACCTCCTAGGAAAGTTTCACAACCTTCATTCTTACATAACCACATCAGTCATCACCAAAATATGAGCACAAACTTTCGGTTAAAGTTATTTTCACAGATATACGAATCAGTAGAGTTTACTAAAAACAAAACGCTGTAACTGTGATTATCAGATATGAAGTTGTCTTTACAACAGTTTACTAATACAGATTGTTTGACTTTGTTTACAAAGTTGCCCAGTTTCATTTAAATCTATCTGAAATTTCGCATCAATATCTCTAATAATTGATATTTTAGAAAAGTGTTGATGTCTCAATAGTGTTTTACAGCTTTACATTTATTTTTGGACAAGGATAATAGAAACATTACACAACAGTGAAAATTTTATTTCTTGAAGCATTTCATTCTATTATCTCTGAATGATTGATTAATATCAACCAACAGTATTATTCTCTAGAATTAAAACGCTGAATTATTTATTTTAGAATAAGCAAAAAAAACCAAGTTGACGTCTACTCAAACTTCAATTAAATAATCTATCAACTCATATAGAAATGTATCAAACTTGATTGGTTTATTACATAATTTATCTCTTGAAAATTTTATTCTGATAATTGGGATCTCGAAATTAGTTCTTACTGAATCCAAATTAATAACAATAATAATAATAAATTTCTATCTGTTTACTGAAACAGAAATTTCATTAAAATCATTCATCAGAAAGCACAAGAGCACAAGTGAGCAATCACATTTTATATTAAAATCATTAAAAAAAACAGAACAAATAATGATTTATATTTAGAATCTTACTTCAGGTTAGTCACAGAATTAAACTGAGTTATGTACTTTATTTATAGGGGGAAGTTATATTTCAAGTTATATTTCTTAATTTATTTATATTTTTATTTTACTCATATTAATTCATTAAAACTAAAAAAATTAAACAATTTTCATTTAAACATCGCCAATGTATAAGTTAGTGAATGTTTGAGTTCAATGGCTTAAACAATGATACTGTATGGTCGTTTGAACAGAAAGGCTTAGAGTTTAAGTACCAGTATGAACATTGACCCCGAGATCCAGGAACATTCAGATGACCAATGTGAAGCATACCAAAATATACTTCCTGGATTCGACTACTAACCAGATTCTATGTATTCTATTATAAATCTCCATAAAATATCGACTTTCATTGACTAATGAGCAAAGGGTCTAGAGGTTAAACGTTCGTGCGCGAGACCAAAGTTTCTGGGTTCGATTCGCAAATGTGAGCATCATGAATGAGCATTGCTGATGAGTTCCATACTAGGACAAAACGGTCTTCCAACGCTTCCATTTTTCTAATGGTAGTCTAAAATTGCTCAATCCATGATTTCGATAAAAAATCAAGCAGTATAGAGTATTTTCAAGTAAATGAGAAAAAAGTGTAAAGTATTTAGATAACTTAGAATGAATTTATTTGAAATATATTAATGAGCAAAGTAATCTAAAAATAATCACAGTAAATAATCTACTGAGGTAAAAAAGATTTCATAAAAACAGAAACATATTTTTTAGGAAAACTTGTAATTTTTTTAAATATTATTTATCTATAAAATTTTTGATGTATTTATTAAAGAATTCGAATCTATCAAATAAAGTCTATTTAAGAATAGGAAGAAAAAAACGATACGCCACGTTCGAACCTGATATAATGAAAGTTGACTAGAGCTATTTAAACTGTAGGGTGATATGTTCAACCCTAGAACAAATTGCTTTGTTTAGATAACTGAATTATATGATAACACTTAACAACATTTATACCTCAGAATAGATTGCACTAACCTCTATTTGTATTTGGAGTTTTAATATTTTTCAAAATCAATCAAACTAAACTTTTAAACTACGAGAAATGAATAGCTAATGATATCAACTCCAGATTACTATATCATCTGTCTCATTATGTCAAAAAAGTACATATCAAGCTCATGTTGATGTTCTTAAAAAAACAAATCACTCTGTTGATAAAAATGTTTATTTTTTTTCCCTTTGAAAAATTGATGACTATCATACAATTTTCTAATTTTGAAAAAAATTTTGGAGACAATTTTTTCCATATGAGAATATTTTATGAAGTATATATATATATGTATATATATATATATATATATATATATATATATATATATACGTATATTCATCTCGTAATGATTAATTTTGACTAACACGTGTATATTCTTCATACACATAGGATGAAACTATTTTTTTGTGAAATTTATATTGACCTGATAACAAATATTCATTTGTTGATTTTTTTTCTGTGATGTTAAATTTCCTAATTTTTTTTCCATACATTCCATTCTTCTTACTTTTCCCTTTTTTATCTATGATTTTTTTTAAAAAAAAAATATTTTATTCCCAAATCAGTTCAAATTAATTAGTTTCTGATAAAAATGATATTCAATATTTACTGTATTAATCAATCATTTTTACTGTTATACTTTTTGACAAAAAATTCAATCTTCACTTAGTTAGTGAGTTAGAACGAGAACAAAAAAAAATGTTTAAGATTTTTTTCATCTTTTCTCACTGATTTCTTCTTTCCTCATTGAATATTTTTTCATGATTATTATTATTATTGATTAAGTGTTGGTTTTTCACTCTGTCTCTCTCTTTCTCTTACGTGATATTGGTCACAGTACATTTAACTCTTCTGTCATAATTTCCAAAGCTTCAAGAACGTTATGTGTTTTGTGTATATTTCTCTGTACCTAGTGAAAACTCGAAGACAAATGATTTTATTCTTATTTTTTTCAAAGTAAGGCTGCTATTTCTGCATTAATTGCAAACATAACACTTACGGCTTTGAAATCGTTTATGAAAAAAATTCTAGTAAATATTATGTCTGTCTAGTTTGATAAATTTAGTTTTAAAAATATTGTCTAAATTTGAAATTTTTTAGTAAGTTCGAATTTCACTGAATTTCGAAATGTGAGAAATTTAAACAAGTAATTTTATTTGATTTAAAATAAGCATCTATAATTCTATTCGATTCAAGAATTAAACACTTGTATAGATATGTATTCAAATATATGTGATGAATATAATCATTGCTTACTTACTCCTGATACACCCAACGGAACATAGGCCGCCGACCAGTGTCCTCCAACCTATTATGTCCTGGGCTTACCCTTCAAGGTCTTTCCGATTTTCGCTCACTCTTCTCATTTCTGTCTCAACCTCTTTGGCCTTCATCTTTTCCTTTTACCGTGAGGATTGCAAGTGAGGGCTTTTCTTGTGACTCAGTTAGGTGCTTTCCTTAGTGTGTGTCCTATCCACTTCCAGCGCCTTTACCGAATCCCTTCCTCTGCTGGAATCCGGTTTGTTCTTTCCCACAGTGGATTGTTACTGATGGTGTTTGGAAAGCGGATACATGGTATTTGCGTAGACAACTGTTCCTCAATACTAGTATCTTCTGGATGAAAGCTTTGGTAGTTTTCCAAGTTTCCGCTCCACATAGTAGAACTTGTCTTGATATTTGTATTGAAAGTTCTGATTTTGGTGTTTGTTGATAGTTGTTTTGAGTTCTATATGTTCTTCAATTGTAGAAATGCAGCCCTTGCTCTACTGATCCGTGCCTTTACATCTGCATAGGATCCACTTTGACTGTCGATGATGCTGTCCAGATAAGTAAAGGTGTTAACGTCCTCCAAGGCTTCTCCATCAATAGTGGTTTGGTTGGCGAATGTTGCGTCGTATCAGAAAATTTTGCTTTTCCCTTTATGTATGTTGATACCTGCTGCTTCTGAGGCTGAATATAACCATTGGGTTCTGTAGTACTAATCTTACCACAGCCCTGCACATTAAACGATGGTGATTTTTTTACGACTACCAATCTGAGTTTATTAGATTTTCATACATTTTTTAATGTTATTCATTCAACTAGTCAACCAGTCAATAATTCGTTTATAACCTTGATTGTTTTTACTCGAGTGCATATGGTTAATGCTTGCTTTACCTATTACTCGTCTAGCTTATTTTTATCTGACCATGAATATTTATTCATGACTCATCAATTCGGTTGGCTCACTCGCCTTCTCCGCTTCGATTCTCATTCCATTTTGTTGTCTGCTTACACAAATGTATGAAATAAATTCATCCACATAAAACAGTATTTAGCTTCTTACCACGGCCGTTACACAAACGGAGTTTGCCTAAGAATGATATATGGAAACTGAAGGAAAGATTTATATCACATAATATTCAACTGCTCCTACAAATCGCAGTCAGATATCACGATTATTTGATTAAAACTATATCAGAAATGGAACATTTGTCTAATAATAATATTTTATTGTTATCGTAATTTTTAAACTATCTAGTCCTATACAATATACTCACCATAAAAATATAAAGGCTTTAAAGTTGGAGTTCCTGTAAGATTATCAGTATTCGCCATTGTTCTTCTCGGCAGGTTAACAGATATCAAATTTCGATGAAAGTCAACTACAGTTCATAGTAATAATAAAATCTAGTCTTACACATTTTTAATTGTTAGAATATTTGTAAACAAACGAAAAAGTGATAGAAGGCATTGAAAATCTAGAGATGTTTAATTACTCATCAAAAAGAGATTGATGACAATTGAACGATGCAACTTCATGTTGAATAGTTTGGAAAAAAATGACAATGCAATATAAATCCAACAGTATAATTGATAACTTAATATTAGTATTAAACATTTATTTGTTGGTATATTTTATTTAAATGATGGATCATAGAAATGCAGTGAAAGCTATTATATAATTAGTTCAAACTTCCCCTTATAACATCTCTGTAACATTACACATAATTAAACCTAAAGTATTCAGAACTCATAGTTAGTAAGAAACAATCAAACCAATACTTGATATACAACGATGTAAATCTGAGTGTTGTACGAAAATGCAATCATAAAAATCAATGTAGTTTATCATGAAAAATAAACTTTTAATAACTTACGGTGTTTTTTGACAAACTAGATGACTTTTGATTATTTATATCGAAACTGGATTGTTTTGTTAAAATTGACCTGGAACTTGTACCAGTACATGTGTTGGGTATTTTGAACGCGCATTTTTTGTGAAAATTTTGACTACAACCTGAAAATATGTTTAAAAATGGGAGAGGATTCAAAATTACGCACACAAGCAAAATTAAATAAATCATGTTACCAGTTCATAAATAAAAATTATAATTCACGTTGTTATATTCTTTGAAAACTAGTTAATTAAATGATTCGATGCTCTACAAGGCAATGTAATAGTTTATTGGGTCAATATTGTTATGAAATATGCCTGATTCAACTCAACTATGTTGGATATGAGACTGTCATTCATTGATGTTATTCAGTTTTTGACTACTAATCAATGCCATTTGTTTACTTTTCTCTATAAGTGAATGAAATAAGACGGCCTATGAAAATTTCCGGAACTTCTCGTATATAAATGGAATTGGCAAATACTATAAAACAATATGAAAATTATCGTATCAACATACTATGTCTATTTAGCCAGTCCTCAGCAAAAATTTAAACAAATCGAAAACGATGATAATGTGTAGAATACACTGAAATCATCTTCAGCTAAATATGAGTTAATGAACTAGTTTTTTTTTAAAAGAAATTGTATTTCAGCATTCTACCTGAACTATCCTTGATAAAGAAATGAAATTTCATCTTTCGTTTTTCTCTAGTTTCATTAACATCCCAAACTTTCTACGTTTCTTGTCACACTAAATGGGATACTTATGTTAAAGATTCTAAGACCATCAGTTGATACATTGAAAAAACCCCAGTTAAGAAGTCAATATCAAAATTTGCTTAAAAAATCTAAACAAATTGTTCATTTTATTTCTTTTGATGAACTATTCAGTTTATTTTTTATATTTTTTGAATTCGGCATTAATATTCATAATTTAAATAACTATACCTATTAGCTTGTAAACCGATGTATATATATATATATGTATGGTTAAAACAAGCCATCTAGTATAATAATTTTGTTGTACACTCTACAGTGATGATGATTATTATCATTTCTGTTAGTTTAAAATTATTAATCCTCCTATTATTTTTTTCAAACTCGAATTTAAAAAAAATACCGAACAAGTAATGGTTTGAAATTGGATAACTGAAATTACACTATCGAATAATTTTCTCAGATTAACAGAGTAATAATAACCATAATAAAATATTTATTTTTTAAAAAAAGAATGGTGATAAATTATTTTCCATTATTTAGGATGCAAATTAACTCTCCTGACAAATTCTCGTTAAAATAAAGTCATTATTAGGTTTTTTTTATATTTTCAATACACTACTGAATTTTCAGTATACAATGCTTTAGCAAGTTACTCTTACCATTTTTCACATTGGTAAAAAAATACTTTCGCATAAATAGGAAAGAAGTAAACGAAATAAATTAAAATTCAGTGAAATCATTGTAAGAATGTTAGAATCGATAAAACACTGAATTAGTTTATTGATTAGGTCAATTCATACTAGCTGTTCGTCTCATGGTAGTAGATATGCTAGATATGATACATTTTTTTTATAAATCAGCTTACCTGCAGGAATTTTACAAAAAAATGTTTGTTTCATTCTGTCAAGCGATGTATGTGCAAGTAGAAAAATAAGAGTGAAGTGGATTGTTGGTGTCTGAGAGGAATGACACATGTAAATTGTTTCCCAGATAATAAATATCTATCTACAGTCATATCCATAATGACATACAAAGTTCACTATATACGTTACTTAAAGTTTTCAGCACTCTACATAACACGATAAAATCTCTTCTCAAAGTTCCATGAAAGAATGATGACGTACAGTATTAGGAAAGTAGGGAATACACGAGAATTTATAAATTCTAAAAGTATATATCGAACAATCTCAACTAAACATAAAACCTCTTTTGATGATACACCATTTAATCAGTATTCACAGAACATGAAATCGAAATGAATCTGTGTACACATTTGATTTCTTTGTTCGTTTCAGTGACCATTGATGCTATTGTTTTTATTCAATAGATTATGCTTGAATGTGTTTTCTAATTTAAAACTAAAAACCATAAAATTTCACATAATCCTACTGCATACTAATTAACCATATATACAAGTAATAAACATAATCAAATTAAAAAAGACTAAATAAAATAAGTGTACTAGACAACTTTAGTCAAATGATGATTTTAAAAACTAATCCGTTTACAAAACATACATCTATAATGAAGAAACTACCATCTCTCTGATCTACAAATTTTCTCTATCATCTCGGTAATCTATAAGATGCTTGTAAATTTATTAACTACTAATGATCGAAGATGTTACAATAATGGTATGATTGGTTTTTGCAAATTGAATGGGATTATTGCAAAATCTTCAATAGCCTGTTATTCCTCACTGCTGAAATTCAAATATTTAATCAACCAGTCTCTGTTGGAATATCCTCATCATGAGCAAATCGTTTAAATACATTTTTTGTTTTAAGCCTCAACAACTGGAAATTGCAAACCATCACTAACATGGATTTACCCTTAAAATAAGTTAGTGGTTACATGGACTCAGTGGTTTATCAGAGAAATCACTCGATTTCCAAGTGACTGAAACTTGTTTTAAGTTCGAGTGCGAACAGTGACACTGGAATTCAAATAAATTCACCTGAAGAATCTCAAACAGGTCTAAATGCATATTCTAGATAATACAAATATAACAATTAGGAACATCATTAAAACTGAGCAGACCTGAAAAGTTTGAAAATCAGTTGCGTCATATAAAATACATTTCAATACTACAGACAGGGAATAAGGTTAAGACCAGTGTAACAACAAAACAAACTACCACCGTTCTGCAGATGATAAAATCATATCAAGGGGTCACATGAGATTGACAAGTATTATCATGATCTTTTTCACTTTATTATTCAAAATACCGATAGTTGGTTTCAATAAAGAAGCAATGAGGGAAGTATGTTTAATGACAATTTCTTAAAATATGATTAAAATCTTAATAGAAGAGTAATCTTTTGTCAAGTAAGTTATCGAAATTGTAAATATCATATCATAAGTCTAGTAACCAGACTTTTCGTGCCTGGAGAGAACTTCAAAGCATCTCAATATTCCTAAGCTAAAGCTATTTCAAAACTGTTTTCATCAAACACATTTTTAAATTGATACATCAACACTACAGTGCAATCAATTATTGAAGTTAACATCAATGAACACAATATCAAATTCCAACTGGTTCGCACTCATACCATTCCTAATCATAAGAATGATGATAATCAATAAATAAAAGACAGAAAAGGAGGGTGAATAAAAACAGCATTAATGCAGTACAAAAGCAGTAAACGAAAAACAAAACTCCTTATGAGAATAAGTGATGAGATTTAATATCTAACAGATGTTTTATTTCACAATAAATGGTCTGTTTAACTTATTCGCTCAATGTTGAAAAAAAAGTTATTCACTGATTTGTTGACGTCTAATATCAGTCATAAATTTAAATCACTGGTTTATTATAAAAGATTCTTACTATAATTATAGATTAGTTGTCTGAATGATTCTGCTTGAATGGAAGAGTACAAATTTTACCTGACCATGGAATTATTTTCTATTCACTTTATGTTAAAATGGAAGGAAGTTATATAAATAATTATTTAACGCAAATATTAAGTGTACTTTTGTTTATTCTTCTATATGTAAGAGACAAAATATTGACTTGCAAAGCGGACTGAGCAAAATTCAATGAATGACTTTAAAAGTTATGTAGGAATCATTCCGGTAAATATCATCAACCAGATGTACATATTTATTGTTAATAAACTGTTAACTATTTGATTGGTATCAACTTCATACATAAATGTTCCTCATGGGTCTTAAATGAATGCCATTAATTTTTGTCTCTTATAACGATACTCCGATATTATAGTACCTTTTTCTTTCTCAGTCCCAGTTAATCTAAAAGACGAATCTTTCAAGAGATAGCAAAATGATAAATATGTAATTATCCTTCTGGGAATTCAATATCTATAACAGGATATGAGTGCGGTGGATACTTCTCGAAAGATGGTTTTTATGTAGTTTGCGGCGGACTGTCGCCCAGTATTTACTAGTGGCAAGATTTTTGGATTAGAGTGTGTGACTTAATCAGAGTGTCTCGAAGACTAAAAGACATATCAGAGAAGACTGCTAATAATCCGCTTGTTTTGTAAATGAAAGTCTAAATCACTTTTGATGGAGATATAGTATTGTTTTAATACCTGAGCAGTAACATTCATCAACTAGAAGGATGCTCTATATGTGTGAAGACACTGATTAATAAAACAAGGGGCAGCATTTCTACAACCGAGGAACATCCGGGACTAAGAGCAAATGTCAACAAATACCGGAATTACAATTTCCAATACAAATTTCAAGACTTTTCTGCTGTATGAAGTGAAAGTTTGGAGAACCACGTAAGCCATCATCCACAAAATACAAGGGTTTATTAACAGTTGTCTACGTAACGTAGTGCCGGTCCGCTGGCCAGAGACCATGAGTAACGACCTAGTGTGGGAAAGAACTAACCAGATTCCCGATGTGGAAGAAATCGAGAAAAAGTGCTGGAGGTAGATAGGACACATATTAAGGAGAGCACCCAACTGAACGCCAAAGAAAAGAGGTAGACCATTGAACACGTTGAGCTGAAAATTGGGGACAGACATGCAAAGAATGAATAGTAACAGAGCAAAACTGGAAAGAAGATTCAGTCGATCAGACACAATGTAGAACTTCGTACGTACGTACATCAGTTCAAGTTGCCATAACACATTAGCTCAGAGACGCGATCGTCAATTCAAATGTCATCGCAGTGGAAATAGTAGAAGTACTAGCGGTAATTAAAAAGATTAGGATTCAAAAATATTGTTCAAGAAGTATAATCTAATGAAATAACTTTAAATAAAAATAGAAAGGTAAATATGATGTGTAATTCAGAAGAGAAGGATTTGAGGGAACACAAAAAATGAACGCATCTGCGCCATTGCAACCAATTTTGAGACATGTGGTTCAGGGTCCCTAACCATTGGTCACTATTGTCTTGCCGAACACAATCAGGTTGGAAA